TGGATGGATGGATGGATGGATGGATGGATGGATGGATGGATGGATGGATGGATGGATGGATGGATGGATGGATGGATGGATGGATGGATGCTTGCTTGCATGGATGATGAGGACAGCATTACTTAAGGATAACCAAAAAGCACTTGTAGAAACGTAATATTATTTAATAATTCACATCTCCATTCAACTGGGAATTGTAGTCCTCCTGTCTGCAAGGACCAAACTCTATAGTTGCACGTCTCATAAGGTTAATAATGCTGAAGCTGATATTAGATTTGAACCTGCCACCTAATCTTGCAGATAAATTTATTTCACATTTTTTAATGAACTAGGACTGTATTTAATCCCATCTGGACAGTTTTTCCTGAAAATTCTATAAAAAAAAACAAAAAACAATTGGCTAGAAGATTTAACATGAAAATTGCAATATAAAGGTAAGTTTAACCTCGGCTGTATTTGTCTTTTACCAACTATAATTATGGAAATGTTTATTTAGCTTTTTTTTTTACATCCAAAACAAAACACAATGAGGCTGATTCTATATTTTTATCAAGAACATAATTGAACATAATCCATTCTGATATGTTATTTTGCTTTTTTCAATTTGCTTGTTGAAGTTGAAGTTTTTATTTGATAAACTCAGCTGCTGCTATCTCTATAAGTTAAGTACCAGATTAACATTGATCTGCCTTTTTTGAGAAAAACTAAAATCTTATTTTTCCCCATTCTTAGGAAATGCAGAATGTGAGTACTTTATAAATAGGGGTTAAAAAGCAGACATTACAATCCTCTGTGCAATCATGTCTGAACGAAAACAGTATGTCTAAGTTCACATCAAAATGAATTGTGTTTGACTAACGGACTGACTCCAGGCACTGTCTGGGGCGCTGCAGTATCTTTTCCATTTTCTGCAATCTCTGCACATAAAGCAAAATTAATTTAGCTCAATAAAGTTCAACTGCATCCCGGAGGTATCTTTCATTCTTTCTTGGACACACACACACTAAGAGGAAATAATTGTGGCATGTTTTCTTAATAATTTTCTCTTTTTTATCAATGGGTGGATGAAAATTATGTCTGTTTAGCATGCACCCATTCAAGTGGGCTTAGTATGTACAGACAAGCCATGTGGCACACAAATGAAAATCTATTCATAATGTAAAGCCTCATTTGCAGTCTACCAACATCTGCCCTAGTATTTCTTTAAGCTCAGTGGACATCTGGCCAATTACGAATGAGATTTAATGGTCATCAATAGGCTATAGCATTCAGAAATAAATATTTCATCAATGTAAAAAGAAATATTTTGGGGGAGCTTAAGTGATCTATCTGCAACAGGCACCATGGTGGGTGAGGTTGGGTCATTATGCACTTCCCCTTAGTCAACAACCAAATCCAACCACCAATCCTGAATAAATAGGCTCCCTCCTCAGGGTCTGGAAGCGGTTTAGGAGAGGATTAAACCCACACTGGGCCAGTCCTCTTCAATATCAGTCTAGAGAGGAGGGCGGAGGACACATAAAGCAGGACTAATATCATTTGCATAGCATTTAAATCTCTTCAATAAACCAACAAGACCAGAAACACATAGACGGCATTTAAATCAACAACCTCAAAAGACAGTAAGAATATCCTCTTACATGTTTTGAAGGCTTGATTTCTCCAACAATTATTGCTTTTTGGAGAGCCCCCTGCTGGTGACCCACCGTTTTTACTTGAGCCATTGGTTCACTTATTTTATTATGTTTTACCATCACTCTGAAAGCAGCAGAATTTTTGTAAAATGGTTTGGTTTTTTTCTATATTGCATTTAGATTATTTCTAACTTTATATTTAATATTTTCCTTTTAAAAACCTGTTTATGTATTACGTATGCACAATTCTGTGTTCTGGTAATACTATGTCTTCTCCAACCTTTCGAGAGTCATCGGAAACAGTTTGTATGAACTGCCCTTCGAAAATGGCTTAATTTAAAAATCATCCTTGAGAACAATTTTGTTAACTTACAATCAACAAAGAAAATGAGACACCAGGAGATCATTGTGCTTCTCTTTTTCTGTCAGCTCTTTGGTACTTCTTCTATGGCTGTAATTACTGTAGTAAAAGCAGTATTTCATGGATGTCTCAAAGTTACAGTGCACAAGCTAAATATGTTCTTATAAAGAGGCGTTTGGGCAAAGATATG